TTCGAAGTTTTTCAGTGATAGTCCACGATTCATGACCGTAAGTAAGTATGGGGATAAAGATCGACTTGAACACCGAGAGTTTAGTTTTTAAACTGAGCTCTGCTTTAGTCACAATCGATTGGGCTAGTTCATGTAGAATGCCACTGGCTACTCCAATTCGCCAGTCGATCTCTTCCTCCAATTTTCCATCACTAGTAAATACATTTCCGAGGTACTTGAACATCTCCACCTGCTCCACTGACTCTCCGTTAATCTGAAGAGAGCAATGGGCAGGAGAACGAGAAAGCTCTAGGCTTTTCGTTTTAGATGCGCTCACACGTATGCCAGCAACATCGAACTCCTCGGCGAACTTTTCTAGAGAGCACTGTAGATCAGTTTCAGGACATACCAATAAAACAAGGGCGTCTCCAAACAGACACCTTCTCGTCTTCACATCTTCTACACAGATACACTCATCGCCTTGGCCGCTCCTGACTATTCTGTCATGAACAACACAAACAGGAGAGGCGACAGGACACAGCCTTGGCGGAGACTAGTCCCAAAGATGAATGGCTTCGACATAACGCTATTTACTCTGACGCAGCACCCAGAGTTGATGGCCCTTAGCAGGTGCCCATCTATCCCGTATCCTCGAGGGCATGACCACAGACTCTAGCGTGGGATCAGGTCATAGGCTTTTTCTACGTCAACAAAACACGTACACTGGACGGACGTGCTTCAACACTTCCTCAACAATTTGGCGCATTGCAAATGTATGGTCAGAGGTGCTTCGACCAGGCCCGAAGACACACAGCGCTTTTTGAATCTTGGCGACAGTTTTTCCGTGGCACCTCCTTTCTGGCACCTTTGAGCAGACTTCACCCTGGAAGGCTCTATAGCGCAATGCCCAGAAAATTGGAACACTCCATGTGGTCTCCCTTCTTGAATGACGGTACAACAACTCCCGTTCTGCAGTCCGCTGGTGTCTTTTCCTCAGGCACTGCAGCTTGACACAGTCTAGTAAACCACCAAATGCTTTATTCGCATAATGCTTTGAGCACTTCAGGGTGGATTTCGTATATACCAGCAACCTTTGCATCTTTCAAGGTTTTCACCGCTTGTGGAATTTCGTCTACAGAGATAATAATATCCGTACCCTTCTGCTATAGAGGCGAGTCCTCCTACAGTTGCGTGGGATTAAGGAGTTCCTCAAAGTACTCCCACCATCGCCGAAGAATGTCATCATCCTTCTTAAGAGGGTACCCAGATCTGTCCTTCAAGACTCTTACACTGCTTCTATTTTCATCTAGGAGCCGACGGATGTATTCTGCCAGAATACATAGTTTGCCGTGTGGAAATTCGACTCCCATACCTCACCGAACTTCTCCAGGAATCAGCTTTGGCCTTCGCCAATGCTTTCGCTGCCGTCTTGCGTGCTTCGACATATCACACGCGAATAGAAGGCTCTTTGTTTCCATGCCATTTCTTGAACGCTCCATTCTTCTCTTGAACTGCCAGCTGTACCTCTCCGTTCATCAGGAAGATAAACTTGAAGCCAACAAACGATCAACCAGGAACGAACAAACGAACAAAAGATCAACCACGAAGATCAACATGAACAAACCTTTTCTGACCTCCTGACGGCAGGCCAACCAGTTCAAATCCGCAGCATTCGGCAGAAGCCTCGAGTATGCTGCTCTTAAAGAGTTGCCACTCGGTTACAACATCACTTGTCATCAAACCATCGTACGATGTTGTTTATAAATTTCGCTTTCGTGCCCACCCAAGATAGTGTTTCCCATTTGATTCTCTGGTTGCTTCTGCCACCAGATCTTCCTATGGTACTCTATTTCTTACAGCGCAGAGTGCCAACAACAAGGTGGTGATCGGTTGATAGCTCTGAGCGTCTTTTAATACGAACATCCATTGCTGAGCGTCTTAAGTCACACGATACGATTATCAAATCGATCATCGACTTCTGTGCACAAGCTTCCCGGTACCAGGTGTACTGAGCCACTTTTCGATGTTCGAAGAAGGTGTTCATAATGGACAATCTGTTGTTTGCACAAAACCGCGACATTGTTGAGGTCGCAAGGGCGGTATTTTCCAGTCACGACGTTCCACTTTTCAGCGTCAACTCCGACATGCGCATTAAAATCGCCCATCAGTATGAGGGGCTCTGTATTCGGCGCTTCGGACACAACACACTGCGCTTCCTCAAGGAAGGAATCATATTCTCTCTCCTAACTGAGTGCATAGACCTGTACCAAGTCAACGCTTTGGCCTGTTGTAGCTTCAGTCCGCTGATTACCACCCTTCCTCTGACAGGCTTCCAACCAATGATTCTATCTGCGAGGTACAGTTCTACGAGAACACCAAAACCGGCGTCAGCACGAGTCGTGATATCGACGCCTGAGTACGATAGCTTCCATCCGTTGAGGTTCAGGAATCCATAGCCTTGGCGCTTCGCTGACAAGAGTAAAACAATGTCGAGTTGGTATTTGATAGCCTCATCAAATGACTCTTGTTCCTTCCTTCTGATTGAAGATATATTCAAATTTCCGTTTGTAAGCTCCCCTGGTGGTGCCGTTCTAGTGAAACCTTTTCTGACGTGCTGTAATGGCATCGCGGTATCTGCCTCTTCCGTTCAGTAAGGGTGGCGACTGCGTTGATGACTGGTATCTTCGTCATCGTTTCTTCGGTTTTCGTCAGGCGCGTTGTGATTACTACGCCCCCAGCTGACAGAGGGCGATGAGCAAGTTCTCGCGGAACTTTTCACACCCTATTTGAGTCCCTCAACAGTTTGCGCGGCCTTTGGAAACCTGGGCGACGACCAAGCTGGTACAGATTTGGATGGCGTCAATACCATAAATGGCAACTAACGAAGTTTAACGGAGACTTCGCCACGGTCTCCGACCCTCCTCCTTTCTCAATCGGGCTTGGGACCGGGAAGGTCGACGTTTGCCCCATGTTACTTTTGCACCGAAACTGGAAGGGCGCAAAACAGCACACTATGTTAAGCAGAAGTAAACATGTTCGAACACCAGCGAGTATATCTCGATCGGTAGGCAATGTATGCAAAAAATTACTTTCGTTTTATCGGTTCAATCCAATACTGTTGCTTTTCGATACCGCCGGTAAGAACAAGAATTTCCTGCCACTTCTCCAGATATCTTACGTTTTTGGGAACCGTGGCCTGTTTAAACGGTTTTCGAAGTATCTAGGAGCAACGGGACAATGCAACTATGCCGTTCTGTCCGAAGCACTGACAGAAGATTGTTACTAATACCGACGATATCGAAAACTGACAGTTTGCCTGTAACGCCAGAATATCGGGGTTAATTTCTTACACAATAACTGTATAATTTCTGTCCATCTAGAACACACATTTTAATAGCATAATATACTTAAGTGTGACTTTGTTATTATCTGAGGCACTGAGACGTGAAAGTGTTCCGTATGCAGATTCAAGTGTAAATTCTGTAAAACTACGTCTTGTTTGGCAATTAACAAACTTATGCAGTCAATTGGCAAATTATTTCATCGCTGTCGCGAGGTAACTTCCACGAAAAACAAATAGTCAATCGTTCGCTTTAATTGCGTGCCAAATAGTGACTAAAGTCGTGTCAAAAGTCCTCTAAGTTTTTTCGACATTGCCTCTTTTCCACGCTAGCGAGACTGCTAAGATTATGTGCACTTCCAAAATTATCCTTCTTACAGTACGACATCCACGAATCATCATTAGAGGAAAACCACACGAATGAATTCCACTGCAGCAACTCTTCAATAATTCAAAATATGATTTTATGTGCATACTGGCTGTTTTCTTATTAAAATGTCTTTTTTAGCATAATTTCAAAATTATAATGATAATCCCTCTCGCCAGATTAGCAGGTACATCAGATTCCTATAACAAAGTAATTATCGAGGAAAAGCGCGTAATACAGTACAAGCCGCCAGTTCAAGCAAGGTGGTCGTAAATCACAGGATCTCGCTTAAGTGCAAGTTTTCTATAAATGTTTTGTTGTTTGTACGATGTTTCGTTGTTTCTCCGCGATACAGTGATCAGCGTTTTATACGTTAGTTCTTGCTTCTGTTTTCTCGCGCATCACCGGCAGCTGACTTTTCGCTACCGGATGACTGCCTCCTAAATTATCGAAGGATACTGCATATTGTAGATCTGGATATAGTCATGCCACGCAAAAGTCAGAGGAAACCCTGGTTCCAGTACCCAAACCAAACACATTCGTTGCCAGAAGCAGAGAAATGGGTATGCACTTCGTGACATTCACATTCGATCCGGTTAAGGTGTCCGTTTGCAGGCGACAAACGAAGCAAGCAGATGCTGCCCAGGGCCACCCTTTGGGCTGCTTACGCCTGAATTTGAAATATTTGTCGATCAGCTCGTAGTCAGGGAAGTGGGGGACGCCGGTAACGGCAACTCCACTCTGCTACTGCGCAGTGGCAATATGCTCGAGGCACCACAGATGTCAAGGGAGTACGCCGTCTATTTATGCAAACAGCTGTTAGGAAAGGCCTGGACGCGGAAGGAAAAAATGTTCATAGCGAAGCTGTGCTCAAAGTTCAACATCACAAAGGAAGAGTACACGCCCAAACACTGGTAATTCGTAGCCTTATGAATATTTTGGCTGTTACAATGCAGTTTATTTCTTTATTTACTATTTGTCTTTTTTGGCTAATGCCGTGAAATTTTCATCTGCACTGATAATAACCTACTGGATTTTTTTGGTTTGTAAAT